TTGTAGTTTATGTTTTTAGAGAAAAGGCTGTTTTTTACTTGTCAAACTGATTATAGTTTATTTTTGATTGGATCTATGGATTGTATTAATGTCATTGCGTTTATTCGAATGTTAAAATGGATTCAAGAATCTAGGTATGAATTTATTTTTTAATTTTGTGACGTGTTGTCTAAACGTACGGAATCCGAAAAGGTATATTACGCTTTAGATATCTGACTGTTTCATTTGGCTGTATCTTTGATATGAAAAATCGTCTGTGTTTCAGTAGCTTTTACGATTTTATATTTCAAAAAAAAGAGAGAGAAGCCCAAAAAGGATATTAAAAAAACTAAAATTGTCTGTGTAATTTTGCATGGGTTTGCCATAGTTGATGATTATACAGCATAAAGGGTATTATGAAGATTCGGGTATATTTCATTTTGTTATCCATTCTTTTTTGTTATCAGGTGTTGGTCTTATTTTGTCTGGGGTTTTCGTAATTTCGATGATTTATTGTTTTGTTTATCATGTCAGATTGTGAATTATTTTCTGTGTTCTCGACTCCTCGTCGTCTCATATGGTGAACGTATCTGGTTTCATGGCTGCTCTTCAATAATCACCAGCAAAAATCGATGTAATTTTATTGTTTTCGATTTGACGCAGGTCTTATGATACTGAAATAGTTGAAAGAGAACTGATTTTGTTTTGTTTTGCAATATTCCTAGATCTCAGTCTTAACCTCAAACTGTATTTTAATGGACTAACATCAGCTGGCCGATACACACCGTGTTCATTGTGTGTACAAGGCAGATCAGGGTAAATAACAGCATAGTTCATGTGTTTTATTTTGTAACTCACATAAAATAGAGTATACAGTTGTCTCAGAGGGCAAATGTGTCCCGCAGTGAGATGTACAGATATTTATTTTTTACACCGTATTTATGGATTAAGGGAATGTGCCAGATTTTCAAGCATTGCTTTTTCTTTTTTTTTTTTCTTTTTTTTAGAGACATGCCATTATGAGTTCAAATCTCTTTATCGCTGTTCTGTTGTTTAAAATGTTATGCAACATCTAAAGTTTTGTTATGAAAATGATACAAATCTTATATGTATTGTACAGATTCCACTGATGAACAAGATACAAATGTACACATGGACAGATGCTTAAATTTTGTATCTTTGTCATTTTAATACAATAAAAACGACTGAAACGAAAACTGTCAACTATTAATTTTTCTACTTGCTTAGTTGCTTTTTTAATGCTTTCTAAACAATTAAAGTGTATTACTTGAACACAGAATTTAGCCTAAATGGGTAACTTTTTTGTTCAAAATTAACTAAATTTAATGAGTCAGTACATCAATCCTTTTTCCATCGTCTGTCTTAAAGTCCCCCTGTGGTGAAAATCAAGTTTTTAATGTTGTATATATGTTTATGTGGTGTTTTTAACATGCTTTAAGTCAAATCATGTGTACATTCATGTCAACACCATTGCTGAGTATTTTCTCTTTAAAACTGCTTCTACAGTCTCAGAAACGTGGTTTGAAATCGCTGGTTTCTGACGTCACAGACTACCTTGTAACCAATCACGTCATTAACGTGCCGGTGGGCTTTTGCATATCATTAACAATGCTGTGAAGCAGGAGGGTCTCAAGAGAAGCAAGGTTATCCCTGTATTTTCTTCTGTTGATATACAAAATCTGGTTGATTTAGCAATATAGCGGGTGTATGATGTATATTAAGTTGTTATGATGAACTATATGGCTTTCTCCACTGGCGTTCTGAGTTGTTCAAAGCGTTTCTGATGATTTTTAGAAGGCAGCTGTGAGACCCTGAGATGCGAACAGCAACAGGTTTGTGTGACATTAGCAACACATTATTAGCTGTTTGATAATGTAGTCAAGCAAAAGGCTAATCATATTAATTACCGTTATGTGTCCAGCGTTGTAAAGAGCGATACCATTGTGCAGTGTTTACCTCAGTAAGTTGGCTGAGTGGATCTCTGAGCTGGTGTGAGTGAGTGGAGGCGGGGTAATTAGCATATCCACAAATACTAAATGAAGCACTGGTGTAGTTACAATCAAGCTATTTTAAAGGATTAGTTCACTTTTAAAAAAACTTTTGCTGATAATGTCATCCAAGATGTCCATGTCTTTCTTTCTTCAGTCGAAAAGAAATTAAGTTTTTTGATGATAACATTTCAGGATTTTTCTCCATATAATGCACTTTACTGGGCAGCAAACGGTTCAAGGTCCAAAAGACAGTTTCAGAGTGCAAACTGCAAACTGTTCAAAGGGCTTTAAACGATTCCAGACGATGAATAATGGTCTTATCAAGCGAAACGATCGGTCATTTAAAAAATAAATAACAAAGTTTAAGTTTTATAAGCTCAAATGCCCGCCTTGCTCTGTTCTGTGATGCACGTTCGTGACTCTCCTGTTCGAACTCGTTCATCAAAATGAACAAATCTTTTTTCGAGTCATTTGATTCATTTAACGACCGAAATGAACGAATTGACTCGGAAAAAGATTTGTTCATTTTGATGAACGAGTTCGAACAGGAGAGTTACACAGAATAGAGCGAGGCGAGCATGTGAGCTTATAAAACTTAAACTTTGGGTTTTTTTTTTTAAATGAGCGATCGTTTCGCTTGATAAGACCCTTATTCATTGTCTGGTGTCGTTTAAAACCATTTGAACAGTTTGCAGTTTGCACTGAAACTGTCTTTTGGACCTTGAACCGTTTGCTGCCCAGTAAAGTGCATTATATGGAGAAAAATCCTGGAATGTTTTCATCAAAAACCTTCATTTCTTTTCGACTGAAGAAAGAAAGACATGGACATCTTGGATGACATGGGGGTGAGTAAATTATCAGCAAAAGTTTTTTTAAAAGTGAACTAATCCTTTAAGGCATGAAGACATTTTTTTCACAGGAAAATTTGTTTAAATATGTCATTTTTGTGATCAAAGATGGGTTTTAAGGGATATATTTTTTACTACAGGGGGACTTTAACCTGATTCACTATGGTAATAAGTGTTATTAAGTGTTTATATGTTAGAACTGGCAGGATGGTTTTCGCTGGAAATTGTGTACTTGTGTCACTCACCCGTGCGTGTCTTGTCATATCAATAAATAGAGAAAAATTGCTCCGGCTACTTTACCGCAAATTATAGTGAGGGAGTGGTACAGGTTAGTTGTCACAACGAGCGAGAAAGGTTGACATGGAGCAGCTACATCTCCAACCTCCGGGGAATCACCCTTTTTGTACGGCCGTGATATTTCACCTAGTGAAACTACGCAAAGCTTCTAGGTTGTACGTCACGCATCACACACATGACCAGCGTCGGCCAATAGTGAGCCTGCGTGTGACGTGCAACCTAGAAGCTTTGCGCAATATCACTACGTGAAATATCACGGCCCACAGAGAAGGAAATGAATAGTTGAATAAAGTCGTTATTTTTGTTTGTTTTTTTGCGCACAAAAAGTATTCTAAAAGTATAATATTATGTTATCTGAACCACATAAATTATCGAAGTTGATTTGAAAAAGAAATAATGTTGTGATTAAAAAATCATGAAAATATTTTTTTTACAGTGTACAATTTAAAGTTGCTTATCATGACCTCCATATGGTGCTATATTATTTGAGACCTTTTTCTATGGGAACAGTACTTGTGAAAAGCCATCATCAGTATACAAAGCATTTTATAATAAATGTGCAGTGTTTTGTGAGCATGCTTTGCCTGTGCAAATGAAAGCTGAAAACAACTGAAAACCCATGATATCTGCACCTGATGCTGTTTTGTCAAACCACAATATTATAAAAATCTGACTGAGTCAGTTTTAGTTCCTCTGAACAGGTTTGTAATTGTCATTTCCTCTTTCTAAATCACAAACTGAACCACAAACACACACACACACACACACACATGCACAGAGAAAGAGCCTTGTGACATATTCACAGAAACTTAAAGGCTCAAATCATATTTTTGAATTGTATTTTATTTAATTTTTCACTATGCATTTTTTTTTGCACCAAGAACAGTTTTCATTTTGCTTTTCATGGTTTTTTTCCTGTCTTTCCTTAAGACTTAAATGTAAATACTCTTTTTGCATGTGAATTGAATATCAGCACTTTGCTACATTATATCACTGCAAAAAAAAAAGGTGCAATTTTAGCAATTTGTTTTATTGCAAATATTTTGTAGTACTTAAAGGGATTGTTCACCCAAAAATGAAAATAAGCCCATGATATACTCACCCTCAAGTCATCGGAGTAAAAAAAAAAATGTCCTGGCTCTTCCAAACTTTATAATGGGAGTCAATGGGTGTATTTTTTGGGAAGTCCATCAAAGTGCATCCATCCATGATAAAAGTGCTTGAAGCTTAGTGTTAGTGCTAGTGTCAGCAAGTGTTACTCTTTTGGCGTAAGTCGACTTGCGTATGGTCGTCTGCCGGAAGCTAGTTATTTTAGTCGATAAAGTTTTGAATATGGATATTTTCCTTACGAACGCATCGTTATTAACCCGCCAGAGCCGTGTGGAGCACTTTTATAATGGATGGATGCGCTTTTAAGGACTTCCAAAAAAATATACCCATTGACTCACATTATAAAACTTGGAAGAGCAAGGACATTTTTTAATATAACTCCGATTGTATTCGTCTGAAAGAAGAATGTCATATACACCTGACTTCAGTGTGAGTAAATCATGGGCTAATTTTCATTTTTGGGTGAACTATCCCTTTAAGCAAAACATAAAGTATTGTTTTCTGAAAAAATATATTAAAATGAAGTGAGTTTATGGCTTAAAGCAAGACATATATAAAAAAGAGTCTAATGCCATTTTGCTTCTCTAGTAAATGTATCTTGATTTCAGCATGTTTAGATATTTGTTCTGGAAAACAAAAGACAAATTCTAAGTAAAATTGTATTCCCCATGATATGAGCCCTTTTATGCAGTTCAGTGCTAGTATCGATGTTAAATACTGTAAAAAACATTATTTTGTAATAAAATACTTCAGTTGAGTCTTAAACACACACTAAATTCATCCATAGTTGCAGCAGGCAGATTTTTTTGTCTCAGGTGTCTCTTTTTTAATGGCGGCCCCAACGACTAACCCGTGCCAGTCATTTCGGGTGGGTATTTTTCCTTTCAAGAAGAGTTCATATATCCCTCTGGCCAAGGTCTCAAACGATTCGCTGACGTTTATATTCTCCTTTGTAGACACTTCAAGATAAGCCACCATGTTGAGTTTTTTAGCCAGCGCTTCTCCTTCACTCTTCCGGACCTGTCGTCCCACAGCCAGGTCACTCTTATGACCCACAAGCAAGAAGAACATGGGGTTTGGTTTCACATAGTCCAGGACTTCCTGATGCCAGCTGCAAACACGATCAAACGTCTGTCGCTGCGAGACATCGAACATCAGAATGCAGCCTACAGAATTCCTCATGTAAGACTTACAGATGGACCTGCAGCAAACAATGGCATAAGTCATGTATGTTGAAGTTGTTTCAGCTGAGCAACTCTTAAAATGTACAGAAGACACTTAGTAGTTGTCACTTGAACTCAAGAGAATATTTTTCAGTACGCGGGTTTATTTTTTTTATAGTTCAGTTTCCACATCGACACAAACTTTAAAGTCTTCACTACAACAAACTATTTCAGTTATTTGTAGGAAAAAAAAAGATATAGATAATTTAACCATGTAAAGCCTGACCTGAATAATAGTTATAATTTTTTTTTTTTTTAATGAAACCATTTATTGAAACTTTTTTTTTTACCAAAATATTGGCAACACTTAAATACAGTGATGGAGTTTTTGCTCTGATAAAATATGACAAAGACATGTTAGAAGGGCGTTTTTCTAACCTGATACTTCAGCAAAAGATGTAAAGATCTCCAATGGCAGCTGCCGAACGTTTTTAATGTCATATTGAAAGAATAAAATATAATATAAGTAAGGTATAATGTACATCCAGCCGGTTGTTATCTCAGAATAAACCCCTGACAGGGTGATTAGGTCTTGCATCAGCCTGAAGGGGGTTTATTCTCAAAATAACTCAAAATAATTAATTAGTTTGAGTAGGACAAACTTAAATTAAACTAATTAGTTCAGTCAAATTACCTTTTATGAGTATTTAGCACTTTCTTTTTTTTCATGTTCACAGAACTGATATATTTAAGTAAACTGAACTGTCTCTGAACTGAACTGAACTAACTGTTTTTAATGTTTTTTTATGGTAATTTAGAAGAATTTCTGTTAATGTTGGTTTTAGGATGGTTATAATGGTGACAAGTGGTGCTTGGTTTGATAGCAAGAATGTTAAAAAGGTTTTATTTTGCTGCACTGCAAGTGCTGTAACATTCTATTGTTAACATGTTAGCTAATCAGAAAGTTAGCATTTATTGAACTAGCTTGATATAGCTAGCTAAGTTTATGTGTTCCTCTAATAAAAATGTCCACATTGAGGTTACATGAAAATATGAAGTTAAATGTATGTATGAGTGTACTCAAACATTTCAAGTTAAGTACAAAATGTATGAGTACTACTTAAACTTTGAATTTCTTAACAAAAAAATGTAGGCAACTGATTGCTTTGCTAAGTTATTCGGGTTTACATGTGTAGAAAGCGTACAGCGCTGCTGACTTCAGTAACCAGGAGTGATCTGGGAATAACATAGCGCTGAATGGTGCGATTGACCAATCAGAATCAAGTATTCCACAGAGAGAGCCATGCAATAAATTATGAATAAAATGAATGAATGAATGAAGCATGCATATATATATATATATATATATATATATATATATATGTTTTTATTTAAGGAAACCCTGAAAGGAAACAAAAGTATTAAACTAACTGTGGCCAATAGAAAATAGAAAAGTTAAGAAATGCATAAAATATATTGACAACATTTTAAAATTGTGACACAACTTGCCCAACCTGACATTCATGAGAAATACCTGCCAGGTTCATGGTTGTGTACAGTGAGTTTTGATTTAGTTAAATTCTGTTTCCCTGTCATGATTTGATCTGGTTTCCTAGTTTGTTAGGAAAGAGGTTTAGAGTTCACATACACTTTAAAAATGTCTTAAAAAAAGAAAATTGAATTAGTGAGCAGAAATCAACATAGATAGAGTAAGAACAAAAAGCACAGAGTACCATCAGTTTAAACTATTCCTGTATAATATTGGGTGCGTTTAGTTGACAAAAACTCACCTAAATCTTTCCTGGCCCGCAGTGTCCCACAGAAGGAGTTTGACCACAACATCAGGGTCAAAGTTCATGTTATGCACCTTAAAATCAATTCCCAGAGGAGACTGAGAGGATTCATCAAATGTTCCTTCAGTGAAGCGATGCAGAAGAGAAGATTTCCCTACAGCCGAGTCTCCGAGAATGACTATCCCAAATCTGAAGTTCCACGATATTGTTTCCTCCATTGTGAATGGTTTTGTTACGATGACAAGCAGCTGTTAGTGTTAGAACTAGTGCTAAAACTCTGCTAAAGTCTTTACTATAGGCCTTGCCCTCTGGTGACTAAACAAACAGGTTAAAAAGCACAAAGAGGGGGAGGTTTGCAAAATAACAATTACACACCTATTTCACAACAAGAGTGGCCTGTGAAAACGTGGCATTACAAACTGAAATCTCATTCTGTTGCACAATAAGATACAGAATATCAGTGAGAGAATTTAACATGGCAAAAAAGATTTTCTTACTAAACATTCTTAAATCAAGACATCTTTATTTGAGAAGCAAACTGACATGATATTAAGTCTTGCTTTCTTGTTTTCCCTTTGAATTAAGTTTATATTTCTGATCCCATTGACATTTTTTTCTTGTTTTAAGCATAAACTCACTAAATTGATACATTTTTCTGTTTTGTAGATTTAAAATCTACATTGTCCCCAAAATTCTTAGGAGGATGTCATAATATCAAACACAAATTACACTGACTATACACATGATTAAGATGTTTTTAAAGTCAACTTGAAATCAATGTTTTTCATGTTGGCTGTAAGGCAATAAAAGCACAACGTCAGAAACATTTAAAAAATACCTGTATCCTTATAATGTTTTATAATCTATAAAAACACTCACAGTTGTTCACTTAAAGGTGTCATAACATGAAAAAACTAATTTGAGTTGATCTGACATATAAGAAATCTGTCCACCATTGAAACATCCTGCAACTTTAATAGCTTAAAATGTCCTCCTCATTATAAACAAAGCATTTATTTAATCAAGCTGCAAAAATATATTTACATATGCCTGCATCCAGAGCAAAAACATCAACAAATATTTTTGCACCATAGCCCACTGGCGATCAGTCGTGATCAGGTGTCTCTTTTTTTAATGGCGGCCCCAACCGTTAAAGCCCCGTTCACACTACAAGCGACACGATACCATTAATTTCAATGGGGAGCGGGCGATTTCCGCCGACACGCGCGACAGCGACCGGATGGGGCGTGTCTGGCGACGCGACAAAGTTCAGATCTGTTTAACTTTATGCAAATGTTAGTTTGTAGCGGCAAGAAAACATATTTGTTGTCTACAACATAGAGTAACATCCGTGAATGTCACTCACAAACATTACTAGGCAACCAGTAGTGGGAACGCCCTCCAGCGAACTAACCGCCAGCCACAAAGTCGCTTGTAGTGTGAACGCAGCTTTTTGCATGCCGGTCATCTCGGGTGAATCATAACACCATAGGCATTAAAGCAGCACTAAGTAGGAATTCCGTTTTTGTCAAACAGCGACCCCTAGAGTCGCTGTGGAGTACTTGTACTGTCGTGAATAGCACTCACACAGAGATGGCTCTGCACTCACGGCCGGATCCCCTCCCCCTGTACACCGGTACCTGTTCAGTAGGATGGACACTGTAACGAGTGGAAATAAGGTATGGCCCCTTTAAGGGCTGCGCGCGCCCAACACCACATGTATATGGCGCCGAGTTATTTCTGTTTGATGCTCATTTTATCAGAATTTTATCAGATCTGTTTTTTGCCGTAAAGCAATCCGTTACCTCGCGAGACCTGATATCACACGATACTTCCTAACACTGAGGACGGCGGCTCGCCGGCCCAAAGTTGCAAGGGTGGTTTTGCGGCTCACAGGCACCAGGGGGGTGCGAGACGACCACCATTCAACACGAAATCAGTAATATAAACATTGCAATGACTCCAAAGCTGTTCGGTTAAGGTAAAAAAGTTACTTAGTTCACCTTTAACTGCATGGCGTTCAGTCATGACGTTTGCCTAGACCAGATTCGAGTGCCGAGTCACATCAAAATCAAATAGAACCCATTATAATCACTGACGCTGTCTACACTGGATACAGTATACAGATGTCCTTTTACTATCTGAAGAACTCCACATGATTGAGTCTGCCGACAACAGGACAAATGGAAGAGTAAATTGAAGCACAGAGGAACGTTCACTTTGACGAGTCGTGTTTAAACAGCTCATTTCTGCAGAGATTTCAGAAGGATACCAGTGTCAGGAATAAGTAAATGGTTTATTTTTTAATGGTGTACCAGATTGCATCAGAGGATTATATACAGGGCTTGACATCAACACCCGTCAACTCGCCAAATGCGGGTGTATTTCAGCAGTGGCGTGTAACGCAGTCACTACTAGCCACTTTGGTGGGTTGAATTTTATATATAATTTACACATTTTTCAATTGTAGTCTTTTATAAAAAGCATCTAAAATAAACTAGTGCAATGTAGTGTGGTCAAAAATATAGATTTTTCGATACATTACCGAATCTGAAATGCTTCCGATACTCATTTTCCGCACAATAGATACACGATACCAGCGTCTCTTTCTCGCTCTCTCATCTCTCCGACAGCGAGTTGATGAGATGTTTTAAGTGAACATAAACAGTTGAGAAAGAAAACTCACGTGTAACAGTATAATGGATCTGTGCGTCAGGTCTTAAAGTGACAGCAGCCTAATATATCTGCTGCCAAATTACGAGATAATATTAAAAATATCTATCTATCAGTGAAAATGCTGAGTGGCTAGTAACTGGAAAGCCACAAGCCATAGTGGCTGGTGAGCGAAAAAGTGAATGTCAAGCCCTGATTATATGTTTGTTCGGAGCATTTGACTGCAGATTGTTTTGTAAACGAGGCACAGTGTAATGGAGTTTGCAAAGAAACTTTTGTTAAAAGATGAAGCAGCCAACTGTATTGTATCTGACCACAGCTGTATCACAAACCGTAAGTAAATGATTTAATAATGCTTTGTCTGTAAATGACGGTTTTATATGGATAATGTTTTCAAAACACTTACTCACGTGCAATAGTGAGTGGGCGTTGATACTGTTTACTATGCAATGACGTTAGCCAATCGTAACATTTACTGAAAAGCCTTAAAAGTAGCCGCATTTTTACGCATATATGTTTTTTGTGTCTAATAAATGTACATTATAAGTGAACCTCAATTCCATGTCATGACCCCTTTAAGATAAAAAGACGGTCCCCTGTGTCCTGCTGTTAGCACAGGGAGAACCGCCGAGAGTTGATGTTCATCTTGGTGACCCCGATGACCTTGAGTGTCGAGGACAGGCCTAATCCAGGAGACATGGGAACGTCACATAAATCGGACATATCGTCTCGCTCCTCCAGCTCAAACGTGGCATCGTTCAGCATCTTGCGATGTTGGCTACACGTCAGCATGATTCTCTGGTTGTTAATATCAGTGCGCAGGTGCATTAGCTGACGTGCGAGCTGCTGGTCCTGTAAACGCATCTCTGCCTGCAATAAAAGGAATAAAAAAGGTGAACGGTTACTAAAGCTTGAATACACATTAACACTGTTGAAACTTTCCCTGGCAAGTCACCGTTATTTATATAGTGGTTTTAACAATACAGATTGTTTCAAAGCAGCTTTACAGAGATAACAGAAAAATTGATCTGTACATTGTTTACACCAGTTGGTGGCAACCAAAGTCTATTAATCAGTGATTGTATGAAATGTGTATAAAATGTGATACGAAATGATTAATTGCACTAACAGCAATGGAACTAAAAGTTGTGAAAACAGTAAATCAAAAAGAATGCTTCAGATTTATGATAGGTATAAATTAAAAATGTCCTTTGAATTGGTGATTTGCTGCTCAAGAAACATTTTTTATTGTGCTACTTAATATTTTTGTATAAAAATATATATATACAAACTTTTTTTTTACAGCAATTTGATCAATTTGACATTAAATTGATCAAAACTGGCATTTATAATGTTACAATTTTTTTCTATTTCAAATAAATGATGTTCTTTTGAACTTTCTATTTATCAAAGAATCCTGAAAAAATGTAGCATCTTTTCCACAGCACAACTGGTTTCAACATTGATAATAATAATAAATGTTTCTTCAGCAGCAAATCCGCATATTAGAATGATTTCTGAAGGATCATGTGACACTGAATACTGAAGTAATGATGCTGAAAATACAGCTTTGCCATCAAGAATAAATTATATTTTAAAATATATTCAAAGAGAAAACAGTTCTGTTGAATTGTAACAATATTTCACAATATTACTGTTCCACTTTATTTTTGATCAAATATATGTAACCTTGGTGAGCAGAAGAGACTTCTCAATTAACTTTTGACTGGTAATGTACTGTATATACACTTTTATGCATTTGTTTTATATGTTTAAATATTGTTTAATATGTTTTTTCACCCCACAAATACAACAAAGCAGTTTTATTTACCTGTTTATAATTTATTTAAACAGAAACCAAGGTGAAAAACTCACCAGATCTTTCTTGAGCCACTCCAATGCTTGGTCTATACTTCCAAATCCCAGTCTGTTCCCTGATGGTTGCCTCCCTTCATGGATCCCACCAGCTTCCAGTGACGGCTTGGCCCACTGAAGAGGACCTGATGTTTTTTGTTTGTCCGTGTCATCCGGTGTCTCTGAGAGTCTGCGGCTCTGGGCGAGCATCTCCTCCAGCTGAGCTCTCCAGTCCAGGGAAGACGGCTTTCTGGTCTCGAGCTTCAGCTTCTCAGTCAAAGCCTTCAAACTGGAGAGGTGGTCGTCCTGCACTGCAGCAAGGCTTTCTGGGCTTTTTAAGGGCTTATCTGCATGTGACACTGCCATTGGCTTTAGGGACATTTCCTCTTCACTTGCAGGGAAACTAAAAATCATTCACTGGAAAAGTGGGAAAAGTTGGCAGACCAACATCACTGTTGGAAATTGTTCAAGAGACCTGGATGGCTCCAGCAATTGTCCCGGATTTAAAGCCAAAATATGCACAGATTTCATAGATGTTCCAAAATGCAAATATCTTTTGTTTCAGAGAACTTTCATAACACACACACTTGTTATGATATATTATTAAAGACGATATGTTTAAAAAATGTCGTCGATGTTCTTTAGCAGCTTTCTAGAGGCTCTCCAAACTAGAATTGCAGATGTTTCAGTCCCTTGAAATTATGATTATGATCTGAAATATAATAGAAACACAAATTCATCATACCATGCAAAAAGTGAATACTGAAATCTATTGTATGCTTAAATGTGATAAACTATCTTATAATCTACAAATCGTCTTGTAAAAGAAACATACCTGTGCAGTTCTGTAATGAGGACAGTTTATCAGCAAGTTCACTAACACTTGTTTTACTAGTTAGTCTTCTTTCATAATATCTACTTCCTTGTAACTTTGTTCTTGACTCATCATTGACTTGAGAAATGACAAGCACTAATCCTGGATCAGAGAAAGCAAACAGACACCAAGGAAATGGGTCGATATATCTTAGAAACAAACAGTTGTGCAAAGTATTTGAGCAAATGTAATCAATGAAGATACTCAAATATATTTTTGGCTGCTTTGTAGTTTGACTGAGTATCAAGGATATTCACAACTTTAAGTTGACTACATTTTTGAATAAGTATCTGTACTCTTCCTACTCCAATACATTTCTGAAGATTAAAGCAATTACTGGTCACATTTTGCATGGCACTTAACTTTCTGCAGCAGTTTATTTCTGCCACAAAAGAAGTGATATCGCCATCTTCAGGGCATTGAAGGTACTGTATCTTGTGCGTTTTACCCGTACTCAACAAGGCTATTTTACACCAATGCGAGTGCATTATTATTAGCAGGTAGTTGTGAATCACAGGTGTGTTATATATGAGATGAGGACATCACCACAGACCCTGATGAGGCCGAAACCAGCATGTGCAGTGCAAGAAGGCTTTGACTTTAATTTTACCTAACATTATTTTATTTATTTGTTATACTGAAGAGACCTTTTTAAATTATATTATTTTAAGCCCTTTTTGAGCACTTGAGCTTAACTGAGACTTGAGTGTTTGTAGACGTTTAAGAAGCTGTTGTGTCGACCTTGATTTATTGCAATTTTGAGGTGTTATTCCGATCTTAAAAAATAAACACGTGATCGCTTTCCTCACAAATCAACTGTTTCTTGTTTTCCACTGGCATGTCTCTTAGGTGTTGAGGACTAGTGCATCTTTAAACCTGCATTCAGTACAAGCAAAACACGGTTAAAATCAGATACTCACTTTTACTCAATTCCTATTGGAATTGGTGACTTGTAACTTGCAATGGAGTAAATTTCACTGTAAGGTGTCTGCACTTTTATGCAGGAATGGTTTTCTGATGCTCTTTACACTTCTGGAAACAAACATGCAATTTGTTCTATGCATTGGACAGAAGAAACCCAAGTTGCCATCATATGACGCAACATGAAAGAACAGCTTTTTGTAGAAATAGATTCATTGTAAACTGCACAAAATATTTCATATGTATTGATTGAATATGTGTTGAAAATTTGCTTTTTACACAGGTGATTTGAACAACTATATTGTGCAATCACTTCATTAGGATTAGGAGATTCCAACATACACTCAATATATATATATATATTATTCACTATACAAAAAAAATGTTTTACACAGTATTTTTTCAGTATTCATATCAGTATTTTTTTTCTTGTTTTCCAGTACAAGTATCTTCATTCTAAAATCAAGGGATAGTTCACCCAAAAATTAAAATTTTAAACAACTTGAAGGTGAGGAAATGATGACAGAATTGTCATTTTTGGGTGAACTATCTCTTTAACTTGAGAAGGAAAATGACATATTAAGTGTTGTTTTCTGAAATAATCTTGTTTTTCCTTTGAATTAAGTTTATTTTTCAGATATTTCTTCTTGATTTAAGAATAAACTCGCTTCATCTTGATACTTTTTACAGAAAACAAGCCTTAATATCTCATAAGTCATTTTTCTTCTAAATGTATCTTGATTTAAGAATGTTTCGATATTTGTACTGGCAAAGACACAAATCAGTTTTGCCGTGTTGGAGAACATTTTACAAGAAAACACTGTTCCAGTTTTTCTACTCCAAAATTTCATGTTACTTGCCATTTCTTTGAAATTATTTGTAAAAATGTACTAGTAATGTATGAGTGAAAATTGTTTAAAAGTAAATCCTACACCATTTTTATTCAGTGTACCTCTAGTGACAGTATCACTTAAGGGTCGTTTTAGGATTGGTTCCAAATAATGATCAAATTACATTTAGCATTCTTGTAGAATTCTTTGACAAGCAGAACGGTTTGTCCCAGATTGAGGGACTGAAGTTTTAATTATCACATCATAAAAGATCTAATACTTCACACATATGTCATATCTAAGCAGATTGTTTATGATATCAGTCCCAGTCTGCTGGACTCCATATTCCTGTGGTTGAGTTTGAGCAGTGGAACTAGGACACAGCAGCTGACGCCTGCTAAACTGGGAACCCCTCGAGTCCCACCGTCTCTGTGCAATTCTAGTTCTCGTCATCAACCAGAGCACGCACACTTCACCAAACAATCTCCAAATCTGGCCCTTAAGCTTTTATCATATCATCTCATAGCATCACATTGTGTACAGTCTGTCCTGGTCTTTTAATAGTGGCACTTTCCACAAAGCTGTGTGAGTTTATGGAACTCACTATATTAGGAAATCATGATGCTTGGCGGACCGACTGGTGAAAAAGTTGGCTAACTAAATGTGGGAAAGGGAATGGATGGAATGGCCACAAAACGTTTCCCGTTGCTCAGTGTTTTTCCGATGACCTGATTCATAGAAAAGTCACCATCTGAGCAACGGGATGCTGTCCATCAAAAAGAAGATCTGTATTTTTGGCGTGAATATAATGAGAACATGCTGAGTATGTGTTGACACTTTTCATGATGCCAAAACCACTCAGATGAGGGAATCTTAAGAAAACTGCCAAGAACATGTCTAGTTCACAATTCATACCAAATATTTGTTTTATATAAATATTAAAATATTTACAAATATTATTTGTATATAATACGTATAGCCTATTTACACAATAAATAAATTATTAATTTGGTAACACTTTATTTTACAGTGTCATTGTTACATGTTATATTTAGTTACTATAGTAATAACTATAAATTATGCATAATTACATACAACTAACCATAAACCAAACCAAATCATGTAAGTACACTTAGTTACTTAATATTACTCAGTACCTGAATGTATAAATTCAGTGTAACAAAGACACCTTAAAACAAAGTGTAACAATTAATTATTTTACAGGTAAATTTGAATATTTAAAATATAAAAATAACTTTTTAATAGTACTATTTACTAATATTTTAATTAAATAAAAAAAAAATTTCATTAAAAAAATACATCAATCTAGAGTATGACAGTGGCATTATGGAAAAAATATTTTAAATAATTATAAAAATATTTTAAATATCATAATTGTGCTATGTAAATATTATTTATGTTTAAATATTAACATTTCATTTTAATAATACAACTTTTTTTTAAACAATATTTTTCATTTTAAAAAAACATACAAATAATACAGAGTGCATATGACAGTGACAATATGGAAGACTTTCTCTCTCTCTGTCTATGGCACTTTGATCCAAACCAGGTGGAAAGAATAACTAACCTGCACCTGATCTCTATGTGTATAGTTTAGGAAGAAACCTCGTGAAAGATCCTTTTAGTTCAAAGAACAGCCTTAATTCATACACAGATCTCTCTAAAAACTGTAACCCATATTTACTTACAGGGTGAAAAGCTCGAATGCAGCCGTGACGACATTTCTACAAATCCAGTAACAGAGGAAATATTGAGGGGAGAAAAAAAAAAACAAGACAAAATTAGAACTGCGTTTCAATAACAGCGCTCGTGAAGACCACTAGTGATCCCCCGTTATGTTATTGTGGAGATATGAGGAACAAAAATGTTTGAATAACAACCTACCTTCACCAAAACGCGTTTAGTGAGTGAGTCAAACCCCATCTACTGCAAATCTGCTGCAAATGAACGCGAACGTGCCGCGTCGCGTAAACGAGGTCTTTCATTGGTCGACTGGGTGCTGATGTCAGTTCAGACAGACGCGTCGCGCTTCGCTTATTATTATATAGGAGCGCTTTGATTGGTCGACGTCGGGATTCCATCGCTTGCAGTGAGAGCGTCGCGTCACACAGGAACGTTTTTTGCGTCAAACCAGAGACTATTTATATACATGCCACTAAAAGGACTATTTTACTATTTGACGCCCTGCGTTTGACTATTCGTCAAACGCAGGGCGTCCATACCATACAGACAAGAAATGAATGTTCCTATGTTTTTGCGTCCTGAAACATAATGTAAACGCAATCACCACTTGTTCAACACGTATTTCTGTCAGAGAACGCGGCTTATACAGGACGCGTTTATTAAAAAGTGCGCAATTGTCAATTTTACTAAAGTAATACAAGTTGTCATTAAAGCGCTAGATTTGTTTTTGTTTTGAAAGTCAAATGTTGCTTAGACACAAACTTTTAAGATTTCAGTGTGATTTTTATTGTTCATATGTTTATCCAAAAGCTACAAATATGATAATTTTACTTTTGAAGGAGAAAAATTAATATGAATTATTCCAAGACAAATTTAATGGATGCATAATTTTCACGTTATTTGAGCTCAAAACTGTCGTATGTACCCCTAAAAAAGGTGCTGAGAGCGAAGAGCACCTGCAGTGGGACGTCCGTCGCTTTCATTGGCTGATGGATCTGTCAGTCATGCAATGACGTCATGTGGGCATTGTGTTTGAGGAAGCGCAAGAAATAAACTCCACCAAGACTCCAGAACATAATCTGACTTTATGAAACACCTCGCCATCATCGAAGAGTTTAATGTGACCGGAGTTGATATAAACGCGTTCCAACGTCCCGAGTCGAAAGGTACGTCAATGTTTCGTCCTTTTCGGCTTCCTTGATAGCTAAGTTTGGCCAAAAAAACGTAATGTGGTCAAAATCAGTAATGTGATCAGCGGCATTCAGTGCTAGACTGTCAATTTTTTCCTTGTTGTTTGCTCTTTTTTGTAGTTTATTTTTTAACTATTTTCCGAGCGATAGATTTATATTATATTATAAATGAGTTTTAATCAGGCCTGTATTGATTATTGATCAGCTCCAGTAAGTTTGATCTAGGACTTTGTATGTTATGCACCTGCTCAAGATTAGTATTTATTTTTACAACCATGTTTTGTCCTCTGGCGCTTCCTGTATCACTTCCTTGTTACATAAAACACATAAATTACAATAGAAGTTAAACACATAAATTACTTAGAAGTTCTACATATTCCACATACATACTCTCATGGTTTACATGAGCATCTGCACTTTGACATATTTGCACACCTATCATGTACTACAGGTAAAACTCGAAAAATTAGAATTTCGTTCATTAGAAGTTCATTTATTTCAGTAATTCAACTTAAAAGGTGAAACTAATATATTATATAGACTCATTACATGCAAAGTGAGATATTTCAACCCTTTATTTGTTATAATTTTGATGATTATGGCTTACAGCTTTGAAAACCTTTCACAATATTCTAATTTTGAATTTGGGGTTTTCATAAGCACTTTTGACTGCTGGAAATTGTGAAAGGTGAAATCACATATCCAGAAATAAAGTAGGTTTTAATATAGATTGTGTGATATGGTTTGACAACACTAGACTTTAACACAACTGTAGGCTAGTCAATTAACTTTGGATGTAAAAAAGAATAAAAAAAAAAAGAAATGGTTTAATTATGATTATTTTGTTAATCGATTAATCTGTTGGTTATTCCTTTGATTAATCAATAAATCAGATTAAAACTAAATATTTATTACAAATAATATTCTTTGAAAATAATTAATTTGAATAAATGTATGAAATTATACCAAAACCTGTCGTTTGTCCAAACAGAGTGCAATTTAAAGACAACAAATATAGTGAATGCATCTATGTAGACTATGCGCAATTAAACATTATGTTCAATTATTTTCATTATCAATTTTATTGATTAGTTGTTACAGCACTATTACTAACCCTAAATATTTTTTGGAGATGATGTGCAAGTGTTGCATGCGCTCTATATGTGCAGTCAGTAAAGTTCAGGGTGGGTTGGTAATGGTTTGTAACAGTCACAAGTTAAATAGCATTGTAGACTGCTGAAAAGAGCGTTTGTTGGAGGGAGGGCTTGTGGGTAAAAAAATAAATAATTTAATTTTGGGACTTACACAAAAGATAGTCTGTCTGTTATAACTTGCTTTTGTATATTCACAGTGCAGAAAGTGACTTCCACATTCCCTGCCACAGGATGCAGATCAGCGTTTATCTGTACGCTCTCGTCGCCTGTTGTGGATTAACCCTTTCAGCGCTAGAGAATGGCAGCGATGCGCCGGCACTCCTCCTGGTGTCTTTTGATGGCTTTCGAGCAGACTATCTAAACAAATACTCATTTCCCAATCTCGAAAAGTTCTTCTCCGATGGTGTCCTTGTACGTGAGCTAACCAATGTGTTCACGACCAAAACCTTTCCCAATCATTACAGTCTCGTCACAGGGCTGTACGCGGAGAGCCATGGGATGCTTGCCAGTATTATGTACGACCCAGTGTCGAAAAAGCATTTCTCTATTCAAAATGACAGTGACCCTTTCTGGTGGGACGAAGCCATTCCCATCTGGTTGTCGGTGGAGGAGAATGGCTACAGGGCAGCATCTGCTATGTGGCCAGGAACAGATGTGAAAATTCATAACCACACATTAAAATACAAATTTAAATACGACTCAAAGGTGAGCTTCCAAGCAAGGCTGGGAAACCTCACACAGTGGATGACGGAGGACAGATCTGTTAAGTTTGCCTCTCTGTACTGGGAAGAACCCGACTGGAGCGGCCACAAGTATGGCCCGGAGAACACCACTGAGATGGCCAAGGCTTTGAAGGAGGTGGATAGTCACATAGGTTTTCTGATAGAGCACCTCAACAAAACAGGATTATGGGGGAAAATAAATGTCATCATCACTAGCGATCATGGGATGACCCAGTGTTCTCAAGAGCGTCTTATTGAACTGGATAAATGCATCACTCCGAGCAGCTATACAGCAGTGGATCTCACTCCTGTGGCTGCCATCATTCCTTTGGAAGGTAATATTTGTCATCGATACTCCATTTAAATCATTTTTTAATTAAAAGAGTCTGACACGATGAACTGATATATATATATATATATATATATATATATATACACTCACCGGCCACTTTATTAGGTACACCTGTCCAACTGCTCGTTAACACTTAATTTCTAAGCAGCCAATCACATGGCGGCAACTCAGTGCATTTAGGCATGTAGACATGGTCAAGACAATCTCCTGCAGTTCAAACCGAGCATCAGTATGGGGAAGAAAGTTGATTTGAGTGACTTTGAACGTGGCATGATTGTTGGTGCCAGAAGGGCTGGTCTGAGTATTTCAGAAACTGCTAATCTACTGGGATTTTCACGCACAACCATCTCTAGGGTTTACAGAGAATGGTCCGAAAAAGAAAAAACATCCAGTGAGCGGCAGTTCTGTGGGCGGAAATGCCTTGTTGATGCCAGAGGTCAGAGGAGAATGACCAGACTGGTTCGAGCTGATAGAAGGGCAACAGTGACTGAAATAACCACTCGTTACAACCGAGGTATGCAGCAAAGCATTTGTGAAGCCACAACACGCACAACCTTGAGGCGGAAGGGCTACAACAGCAGAAGACTCCACCGGGTACCACTCATCTCCACTACAAATAGGAAAAAGAGGCTACAATTTGCAAGAGCTCACCAAAATTGAACAGTTGAAGACTGGAAAAATGTTGCCTGGTCTGATGAGTCTCGATTTCTGTTGAGACATTCAGATGTTAGAGTCAGAATTTGGCGTAAACAGAATGAGAACATGGAACCATCATGCCTTGTTACCACTGTGCAGGCTGGTGGTGGTGGTGTAATGGTGTGGGGGATGTTTTCCTGGCACACTTTAGGCCCCTTAGTGCCAATTGGGCATCGTTTAAATGCCACGGCCTACCTGAGCATTGTTTCTGACCATGTCCATCCCTTTATGGCCACCATGTACCCATCCTCTGATGGCTACTTCCACCATGTCACAAAGCTCTAATCATTTCAAATTGGTTTCTTGAACATGACAATGAGTTCACTGTACTAAAATGGCCTCCACAGTCACCAGATCTCAACCCAATAGAGCATCTTTGGGATGTGGTGGAACGGGAGATTCGCATCATGGATGTGCAGCCGACAAATCTGCGGCAACTGTGTGATGCCATCATGTCAATATGGACCAAACTCCCTGAGGAATGCTTCCAGCACCTTGTTGAATCTATGCCACGAAGAATTGAGGCAGTTCTGAAGGCAAAAGGGGGTCCAACCCGTTACTAGCATGGGGTACCTAATAAAGTGGCCGGTGAGTGTATGTAGCCTATATATATTCACTGCCCGGTCAAAAAAATCTGTTTGGATTTAAATAGGCAAATGCTTCTTAAGATTCTATGACTGGATCATTATTGCAGTGATTATTATATTTGGCAGCAGTTCTTCTAACCCTAATGAATAATTGATGGAGTTTGTAGCTTTTCATTTCTTAAACAACCATGTAGGAAGACACATCATGGCCATATTCCAGGATGACAATGTCAAGATTCATCTGGCTCAAACTGTGAAAGAATGTTTGGGAGGAGCATGAAGAATCATTTTCACACATGAATCGGTGTAAATAATGTTGATGGAACCTCTTGATGGAAATAAATGTTGTGAAAATTACGTTGTCAAAATAACTCCAGTTCACATGGCTACGCAGAAGCGATAAATAATTCTGTATTATACTTTTTTAACGCCAGACAAATCATTTTTTGAAGTCAATTTGTAAAGAAAGACTACACGCCTGCGCACATACAGTATATTCAAACCCGCATACCTATAGACTGAACACGTAATACGCATGTCCACGCCGTCAGCGTTTTCACAGGTTTGCGTTTTTAAAGTTTGCGCAGAGATAACTTTTTTCAAGGATTGCGTTCTCGAGCCACCAGGCACTGTTGTGCGAATGAGCGGGCCGGAGCGCGTTAAGGGTTTTCTGTTAGAACGGTATCGTGTAAGCGGCCCTTAAGTTAATAACTGATGATCTTTGCAATGGAAGTGAATCAATCAAAACTAAATTTAGCTGGACAATAAAATCTGTTACTTTAATTTCCTGTTATCACTTTAAAGCTGCTTTGAAACAATCTGTATTGTAAAAAGCGCTATGTAAATGAAGGTGACTTGACTTGATATTTTTCTATCAAGATTTTTGGTCAAGATCTTGTATTGAGAATGCAAGAGTCCAGCACTCTGTTAAGTCTCCTCCAGCGCATCCCAAAGACTTGCAATGAATTTAGGGTCTGGACTCAGAGGTGCCGATTCATGTGTGAAAATGATTCTAAGAAATTAGATTTAAGAAATTAAAAGCGACCCACTCCATCACACTCTGTCTACAAAAACCTTCCTTCCTTCCTTCTGTATGGAGGTCAATCCGTCAAATCAACCAAAATTCGAAAACTTCCCTGGGTCAATTTTTTGATATTGTTAATATTTTTTTCTGAAGAAAGGCAAACATAATTAGTGGTTAAAGTCAAAATACTAAATGTCACGGATGAATATTTACTTAAAGAATTGCGTTACAAAAATGGCAGCATCAATATTTTATTTTTACACATAGATTGGTAGGTCTACTAGTAAAAACTGTTGACTTTAGCTATCCTTGTTGCATTATATGCCAATGTTGACAATGACACTTTTTCCCCCCCAAAGTTTGCATGCCTGTAACCCAAGAAGAATTAAAGATATCTTAATATTATTTTAGATTTTGCTTACTAAACCTTTATTTTGGTACAGTATCTGAGGCCCTATATGGGTCAATCCCAGAGATATGGGGTTCTCAATGTGGCTGTAAGAGTAAAGTGTGCACATTTTCAGTGGTCTAAAACCAAATGTGGGCCACTTTGCACACAGCTGATACTTTTACTTTTAAAGGGGAATTCCTGAAGAACAAATAATGTTGAAACTAGAAATGTATCTCATTTCCTTGTCAAAACAATTACATAGAGCATACCTGTCTGAGTGCCAAAAATATTATTTTTCCAAAGTTTGCGTGACAAAAAAAGAACAAAATTAATGTTTAAGCCGGGGATCTCTTTAGGAATACCACTTTATTTTAATTTAATTTTAACTTTTCTATTTATGCTAATTGGATTACTTTTTCTATTCATTTTGCCATTCATTGTTTTAGCTTGTTTTTCCAGAGATCAGGGTGGTTAAATTTTATATATATATATATATATATAATTTAACCACCCTGATATAATTCCGTCCGTCCGTTCGTCCTTCCTTCCAAAGTCAGCACAGAAAAAGTCTACAGATTCCACCTGGATTTGCATTTTTCCTTCTTATTTATTTGTTCATTTATTTACAGATAATTTCACCGTATACCAAAACCTGTCCATTTGTCACAAACACATGAAGGTGTACCTGAAGGAAGATGTTCCTGACAGGCTGCACTATAAAAACAACAAAAGGATTCAGCCAATCATTTTGGTGGCAGATGAAGGCTGGACGATTGTCAAACATGGCAAACTGCCACGACGTAAGTGTTCCTTGAAAGCAGTTAGTAATTGTTAAGGTTACATTTTCCTTGAAATCTTATTTTGATTAATAAGTCCATGTTAAAAATATTTACCATTTAATTCTTTAAAAAATAATGAATGAATGGTTTTGCAAAGGAAAGTATCACTTATTGCATTGTTATTGTGGCAAGTTTGCGTTGACACTCTATTATGCCATTTTAATTATTTTTTTGGAGGTCTCCTACAATAGGTTTCCAAGGTCAAAAAACACTTTCATTTGCAAAAATACTGGGCATCACCTCTTTTCTCACAGTGTCTGAAACAGTTCAATCAAGGATCCAGTCTCTCTAAACCCCTCCTTTCCGAGAGCCTTCTCTGCTCTGATTGGTCAGACTGCCCAGTCTGTTGTGACTGGTGCTTACAGCATGTGTCGGAAATGAAAAACACATGACCATATCTGAATTTTAGCTCTTCCTCAACACTTGTATACACAATGATATGAAAAGTAACAATGGTGTCGGTTTAACGTATAAATTTGAGCGTGAGTCCTCATCCTTTGGAAGTGCATCAAAGTAGATTTGCTTTCTCAGAACAGAACACAGCGTCTTATCGACACGTCGACAACACAACAAACTCTTCCAGTTTCAGCTACAACTACAGCGTAAGGGTCAAAATAGACATTGTTCGCGGGCATCCATTGAAGACCACAGGCTGGCATTATGCAAATTTGTTACAAACCTATGTAGGTTCGAGCAGGAAGCAAGACTATAATTACTGACGGTTCTTTCTTTTGAGAGGCAATGGCTGTGTTCTTAATCACCCCCTATACTCTCACTCACTATTCCCTACATTACTCCATTAATATAGTCCACTTGAAGGGGGGAATGAAAACAAGTGATCGATTTCAGACACTGAGTGCGCCGGAAGGACTGCCGCTTTTTCTCTGAGGTGGTACAGTAAGATTGAGCTTATATACATCACAGAGAGATTTACAACTTCCTTGTAAGGTAGAAAAACAAGTTGCTTATGTTTAAAGATGAAATGTATACCTAATACACATGGTACAATCCACTTTCCACATTAAGAAACAATTTCTTCAGTGTATACATTAGTGGTACATTTGCATCAATTGAAACATTCCTTTAACATGTACACATTTAATGTATCATCATCCTTTGAACATCTCTCTGTGAACGTGGCATTGCACACATACCTCTAGGCAAAATATAACTCTACCAGCTCTCTGCTCAGCACACATGTACAACATACTCTGACTTCACAAAATACATTATGAAATTATTATGAAAATGAATGAATAAAAATAAAAGTAATAAAGTTTTTAGTCTTCACTGTAACAAATGTTTTGCTCATTGTTAGTTCATGTTAGTTAATGCATTAACTAATGTTAAGTAATAAACCTTATTGTAAAGTGTTACCGGAAATGATTCAAGGAATTTATTCTGCGCGACCGTCACAGTGCATTATGGGTATTCTCTAGACGTTGAGCGTACATCAGTTGTACACTCGTTATTGCGGTGCATTGTGGGATTGAATGAGTGCACTCCATAATGTCCACTATGGTTTCGGACACCACTACAAATGGCCGTCCCCTCAAATAGTGCCGGTATTGAAGGGTATAGGGGGCGATTTCGGACACAGCCAATAACTCCATTTATTGTGCACTCCGATCTTTGAAACTTTTATATTCACAAACTAGATATTACACACTAGATTAGAAAACACTAGAAGACACTAGAAAAGTTAAAATCTGAAAAAGCATAATAAGAGGCGCTTTAAGTGTTTTTCATCTGTTTCTTGTCTTTTGCAGTGGGGGATCATGGCTATGACAATACGCTTCCCAGCATGCACCCCTTCCTGGCCGCCCATGGGCCTGCGTTCCGTAAAGGCTACAAGATGTCGAGCTTTAACAGCGTGGATCTCTACCCACTCATGTGCCACCTCGTTGGCATCTCTCCAAAGCCCAACAACGGCAGCTTCGCTCACGTGCGCTGTGCGCTAGTCAACGAGCAGTGCGGAGAGCTAGCATTAGCGGTGGGCATCGTCATTGGTGTTTTAATAATCCTGACCACCTTCACCTGCCTATTCAAGCTGATGAAGAACAGAGATGCCTCGTCTTCACGTCCATTCGCCCGCTTGGAGTTAGATGACGACGACGCTGATGATGAACCTTTACTTGAATGAAGTGCAATACGTTGTTATTGTACACATGCAAAATGTTAAAGGAACAGTTCACCCACACATGGAAAAAGTCTGACAGCTTTGGGAAAACATGAGGTTGAGTAAATGATGACTGCCTTTTTTATTTTCAGGTGAACTGTTCCTTTAAATGCTGAAATGGTGCAGAGATGACAATCATATCGAAACTGTAAGGGAGAAATGTAACTCTTGTAGAACCTGTAAAATACACTGTAGGCACAATAAGGATTAGTCATCATTAGTACTAAACAACATGACAAAACATGTCTTCAACATCAGCTGTTGAGCTAGAAATACTTTAGTTTAAGTGTTTAGTGCTTCGTTCTTAACCAGGTTATCAGATCTCTGGACAACACCAATATTTACCAAAAAACGAAATACATTTCGAACGTTAGATAATTTCCTAACCTAACACGCACAAGCATGCGTTTAACACAGATTTCGGAATGATTCATTATCATTTGCATTATCTTAAGCATATAAATGTTGCTTTATAACTATGCATATTATATGTTACCAGTCAGGTTACTGAGGTACACCATGGTGTAAACTCTTGAACTGGTCTGCACTTCCCAAAAGCATCGTAAGCCTACAGTAAGTAGATCATAGGGTGTAATGCAATGGTTTCTGTGATCACCTTTGACTTACCATGCTTTTAAGAAACGCACAACGTAAGCAATAATAATTATGAACTAGCTATGGTCTGTCTATGTTTTTTTGTGTGTGTTTAAAGGGATAGTTCACCCAAAAATTGACTCACCTTCAAGTTGTCCCAAATCTGTACGAGTTTCTTTCTTCTTGTTGCACGCAAAAGAAGATTTTTTGAAGAATATTGGTAACCAGACAGTTGACGGTAGCCATAGTATGAAAAAAATTACTATGGAAGTCAATGGGGTCCATCAACTGTCACCAACATTTAAAATATTTTCTTTTACATTCAATAGAAGAAAGAAACTCATAAGGGTGAGTAAATGATGACAGAATTGTCATTTTTGGATGAACTATCCTTTTAAGGTTTGTAAACAAGATACTGAGGTTACTTGAAAATGCCCGCACTGATATTGCCTGTAGTGAAACTTTATTTATTAAGTCTGGTTACATCTGTTTTCGCATGCCAGGGAATACACAGCCAGCTCAATTTGAATATTTATTTCTTTTTTTAGAGGTTGCTTTGTCTTTTTTTCTTTGCATAAGAGACACATTTAGATCAAATGCAACTAGATCTCAGTGTTGCTCTGTCTATAAAGGAATGGTCAATCTCACATTTGTTCATGAATCCCTACTGAGGAATATTTATGTAGGGTTTAAGAGGGCTTTTTACCTGAAGATCGAATGTTTTCTTGTAAAGTAGAATGATCTTGAGTGTTTTTGAATCTTTCTCAGAGATTGTTGTATGTGTAAATACACTGTAAAGTTAGTTTTGCTTGTTGCACTATAATCTGTGTGTTCAGATTTGGGAATCCGCTGCTGCTTTAAAAATAAAATTATTTCATGCTTCAAAATGAGTTTATTTAAGAGATTTTATTTTTCCTGTTTAATTAGTTGTTACTTTTTAAATGTTGTTGCTCATTTTAGTGGAAAATAGCAAAAGGATATTGCTTTTTAATTTGTGATTTTGACTTTTAATGCTGGTTTTAATACTGTTGACTTTTTTTTTCAAGGCTGGTCATTTCATAAAAGTATTTTGTGCTGTTTTGTCTGTACATTTGACATGGTCAAAAAATTATTTTGCATCAGTCTTTAGTTACTGAAAAGGAAGGTTACTGAAACAGGATATCAACATCGCTTGTGCTGTATTTGGCTGTCAAATATTTGTGGTCGTATGTTCAGAGCTTTCTGAATCTTTGTGAATCTATGCAAAGCAAGAACTAAATGGAACCTTTTCTCACTCTAAAATGATGACATTTGTTATCAACATCAAATAAAATATCTATTTCAGATATTTAAAGAGTGTTTTTTTTGTGTGTGTGACTGTTATGGTGATCAGATATAATCAGTTCTTTGTAGATGTCAATCAGCCACTAGAGGTCTCACTTCATGTTATTGTACAATTACAGGTTACTGTACTCACTGTATATCATGACACTATTGTGAAGACAATCAAGGTTTTTATGTACAGAATTGACGTTACTTAATCAGCTGATATACTTGCCTATTGGTAGATTATCAGCAATAATTATCAGTAATGCACTATCACCCATATACTAAATACTACCATTCACAACTTTGGGGTCTGTTTAAAAAAAAAAAATGTTTTTGAAGATTATTTTGAAAATTACTGACCCCAAATTTTGTAATGTGCATACATGTATACAGTGCCTTGCGAAAGTATTCGGCCCCCTTGAACTTTTCGCCCTTTTGCCACATTTCAGGCTTCAAACATAAAGATATAAAACTGTAATTTTTTGTGAAGAATCAACAACAGGTGGGACACAATCATGAAGTAGAACGAAATTTATTGGATTTTTCAAACTTTTTTAACAAATACAAAACTGAAAAATTGGGCGAGCAAAATTATTCAGCCTCTTTACTTTCAGTGCCGCAAACGCTCTCCAGAAGTTCAGTGAGGATCTCTGAATGATCCAATGTTGACCTAAATGACTAATGATGATAAATAGAATCAACCTGTGTGTAATCAAGTCTCCGTATAAATGCACCTGCTCTGTGAGAGTCTCAGAGGTCCGTTTAAAGCACAGAGAGAGCATCATGAAGAACAAGGAACACACCAGGCAGGTCCGAGATACTGTTGTGGAGAAGTTTAAAGCCGGATTTGGATACAGAAAGATTTCCCAAGCTTTAAACATCCCAAGGAGCACTGTGCAAGCGATAATGTTGAAATGGAAGGAGTATCAGACCACTGCAAATCTACCAAGACCCGGCCGTCCCTCTAAACTTTCAGCTCATACAAGGAGAAGACTGATAGAGATGCAGCCAAGAGGCCCATGATCACTCTGGATGAACTGCTGAGGTGGGAGACTCTGTCCATAGGACAACAATCAGTCGTATACTGCACAAATCTGGCCTTTATGGAAGAGTGGCAAGAAGGAAGCCATTTCTTAAAGATATCCATAAAAAGTGTCGTTTAAAGTTTGCCACAAGCCACCTGGGAGACACACCAAACATGTGGAAGAAGGTGCTCTGGTCAGATGAAACCAAAATCGAACTTTTTGGCAACAATGCAAAATGTTATGTTTGGGGTAAAAGCAACACAGCTCATCACCCTGAACACACCATCCCCACTGCTAAACATGGTGGTGGCAGCATCATGGTTTGGGCCTGCTTTTCTTCAGCATGGACAGGGAAGATGGTTAAAATTGATGGGAAGATGGATGGAGCCAAATACAGGACCATTCTGGAAGAAAACCTGATTGAGTCTGCAAAAGACCTGAGACTGGGACGGAGATTTGTCTTCCAACAAGACAATGATCCAAAACTTAAAGTCAAGTCAAATATATTTATATAGCGCTTTTCACAATACAGATTGTATCAAAGCTGCTTCACAGTATCCATCAAAACAACTTAACAGTGTTGGTTTATTACTGGAAAAAGACATCCAAGTTTGGTAGAGCTGATCAGTGGTATGATGGGTCATTTAATTTGAATATCCCCAACTGAGCAAGCCAAAGCCAACAGTGGCAATGGTTCATAAAGCAAAATCTACAATGGAATGGTTCACAAATAAACATATCTAGGTGTTAGAATGGCCAAGTCAAAGTCCAGACCTGAATCCAATCGAGAATCTGTGGAAAGAACTGAAAACTGCTGTTCACAAACGCTCTCCATCCAACCTCACTGAGCTCGAGCTGTTTTGCAAGGAGGAATGGGCAAAAATTTCAGTCTCTCGATGTGCAAAACTGATAGAGACATACCCCCAAGCGACTTACAGCTGTAATCGCAGCAAAAGGTGGCGCTACAAAGTATTAACTTAAGGGGGCTGAATAATTTTGCATGCCCAATTTTTCATTTTTTTTATTTGTTAAAAAAGTTTGAAATATCCAATAAATTTCGTTCCACTTCATGATTGTGTCCCACTTGTTGTTGATTCTTCACAAAAAATTACAGTTTTATATCTTAATGTTTGAAGCCTGAAATGTGGCGGGCGAAAAGTTCAAGGGGGCCGAATACTTTCGCAAGGCACTGTACACTGGCAGCCTAAAACAAAAGTCTGATTGGATCATTACGTTTCTATCATGTTATATATTTGGCAACAGTTCTTCTAACCCTAATTGATGGAGTTTGTAGCTTTTCATTTCTTAAACAACCATGTTGGAAGACACATCATGGCCATATTCCAGGATGACAATGTCAAGATTCACCAGACTCAAACTGTGAAAGAATGGTTGTGAGGAGCATGAAGAATCATTTTCACACATGAATCGGCACCTCTGAGTCCAGACCTTTAAATCATTGAAAGTCTTTGGGATGTGCTGGAGGAGACTTTACAGAGTGCTGGACTCTTGCATTCTCAATACAAGATCTTGACCAAAAATCTTGATTGACCTCTTGATGGAAATTAATGTTGTGATGTTATTTCCATCAAGAGGTGCACATTCTGAGCCTGATGTGATGAATCTTGGCTTTGTCTTCAGAAATGAAAAGCTACACACTCCATCAATTAGGGTTAGAAGAACTGTTCCCAAACATATACCATGATATAAACATAATAATCACTGCAATGACTATCCAATCATAGACTCTTAAGCATTTAAATCCAAACAGCGACTTTTTTTTTAATTTTTGGCCAGGCAGTGTATGTAGTGTGTAATAGTGTGTATATACAGGTCCTTCTAAAAAAATTAGCATATTGTGATAAAGTTCATTATTTTCCATAATGTAATGATAAAAATTAAACTTTCATGTATTTTAGATTCATTGCACACCAACTGAAATATTTCAGGTCTTTTATTGTTTTAATACTGATGATTTTGGCATACAGCTCATGAAAACCCAAAATTCCTGTCTCAAAAAATTAGCATATTTCATCCGACCA